GGGGACCGGTTGCACGGATCAACTGAAATAACCTTCGGGCATTACCGGCTTTCTGAGCCTATTCCATTTCTTTGGCTTTCTGTGTCCATCATACTTCACGGTCAGCTCGCACGCCCACTTTGACTTGACGACTGATAACTCTTCGCACCGGGTTATGTTCGGGACCGGCTGGGATATTTCTCCGCGATTTAAGCAGTGCCACCGTTCGATCTGATATTCACTGCTTGGATTCGCCTGGTTGAGTCGTGCCACAGGTAAAATTCCCAGCACTATGCAAAGAGGTGGCAATCTCATCCTAGTATGAGTCTACATATGGTGGTGAAGAGACTCTAGATGATCCTGGTAAATTCGTCTAACAGCCGGATTTACCAGTCTCTCAGTTGCGAAGCGATTTGTCTGCACCTTACGCGGCTCTGGAAAACGTAGGGAGAAGTGACTCCGGACGACCGCTTGGTCAGAGTCCACAAATGTGTTCCAAAACGACCGGCAGTCAGTTATGGACCCGCGCCATCGGTAACTGATGGCAATGTGGTCGATTTGAGTTTGTGGCCGGCCTGCCGTTAGAGGACACCATGTGGCCAGACGACTTCGGTTATTTCGGAATTTAGTACTGCATAAAAACAGCTTGCGATCAGCACACAGCTGAGGCAGTTGCTCCTCATTGTCCGTACGTACCGAGTCCAATCCATGTCGACCTCCTAATGGAGTCTCAGATACACTAAGCCTGCCCACTTGTGCATTCGTACCTTTGGCAATCACGACAGTGTCCGAACTTTTAGCTCGCCGCATCAGCGCATACAGGGTGTCGTAAAACCTGTCTTTGGCGGCGTCGGAGCTGCAGTCAGTTGGGGCGTAGGCAGACACGATAAACAGACATCTATCAACTTACCGCTTGTGAGGCTTCTTCACAGACGTTGCCAGACGAACCGCACAGGTATCCAGTCAAGTAAGGATACTTCCGCCCGGTGACTTAGCACAATACCAACCCCTGCACATCCCACCGCAGCAGCCTCTGGATCACCAGAGGTGCGCGGCCGGTAGCGAGTGAAGACTGACAGGGCGGTTGAATCTTGAATTCTCGTTTCTGAGACACAGCACACATCAATGCCAAGCGAGAGTGTGAGTGCAAGAGCAGCTTGTTGTCCTACTTGCTTCAGAGTGCGAACAGTGAACGCCGCCATATAGACTGGGTGTCGAGGCTTGAGGACTGATTTGGAGATTCCTGAAGATGTCGGCGTCAGGTGACGAGCAGATGCTGCGGGCAAAACTGATGCATGACGAACGGAGTCATTAATCCTAAGTGCTGGATCTACAAGGAGAGAGTTATTAATGGGGTGGGGAGAGGGGGAAGAAAAGTATGAGAGAAAGAAGGGAGGCGTCAACAGCAGCCTGTTTTCGCTTACCCGGCCGGCTGTATGCAGCAAGTAAGGCGACCCGGCTGATGGCCCCACGCGACAGCCGATGAGGCATGAGATTATTGTTAGTTGTAAGTTTCATGGTTGTGCGAGGGCTGGGATACTGTCAGGGCGCCCACACCTAGGCAGGAGGACGATTAGGACCCTCAACCACAGCCTTTGCCCCGAAGGCCTAACCGCAAGGCAGCGGTGCTTGGCGGGAAACGCAAATGCATTACCATTCCTACGGAACAAGTCGCCACATGTTCCAACCCCCAACCTGAAGGGCCAGGATACTGTGTTCGTCAGACCTCTAACCATTGACCAACCTGGTATGAGAGACTGAGTGTCGCCGGGACACTCCCCAGTATATCTCAATGGGTCGCTGAGGTGCGCAAACCGTCACACCACGGTAAGGTCGTGTCTTCGCTGCTCAAATACATGAGACATCGCCGCAGAAACAAGCCATCCGCGTTCCCCTTGAGGGACAGGAACGGAGAACCCACAAGTGGCCCAACAGTGGTATCTGGGGTTTACAGAGAACACCATGCAGGTCTATATTCTGCCCAAGCGTACTCGTTACATCTACTCTTGTCAAGGCGTAACTAGGAACAGCCTCTAATCGACTTGGTCTTCACGGTGGGGGAAATTCGTCAACTCTTGCACCAGATCAACCCATTCTGCGCGTTGGGACCCGAGGTTCATCCAAGGATCCTGAAGGAAACGTCGTCTACACCGGCAAATCATTTCTACCTGGTGTTTCGTCAGTCGCTTGACGAAGGCCGCCTTCCCTCTGCTTGGAAGAAAACGATTGTCGCGCCACTCTACAAAACTGGTGACCGACTATCGCCTGGCAGCTATAGGCCTATAAGCCTCACTAGCGTGCCGTTCAAGGTGATGGAACGCATTCTGAAGCCAGCTATCCCAGACCACCTTACTTCCAGCAACCTGACCCCTCCAGCTCAATACGGATTTCTCCCGTATCGCTCTCGCGTGACAAACATGCTCGTGCTTAGACATCTTAACTCAAACCAGGGACGAAGGACTCATATCGGATGCCATATTTTTCGACTTCTCAAAAGCATTTGATAGGGTCCCACACGTCCCGGTGCTCCACAAACTTGAGTCTTACGGGATTCAGGGGGAAAATCCTACACGGGATCAAGGCGTTGCTATCAGACAGATTATTCCGAGTGTAGGTAGTTTATACCTACTCTTCTCCAGCGCCGGTCTCCATTGGAGTTCCTCAAGGCCCCGTTTTGGGACCACTGCTGTTTTTGATATACGTCAACGACCTTCCAGATGTTTTTGCGGACGACTTGAAATCCTGGAGTTCCAATGCCAGCACCCTCCAAAAGGATGTAGACGCTGCCAAGCAGTGGTCGTTGGACTGGCACCCTCTTCTGAGTGACGAAAAGTGCGTCCATATGTCATCTGGAGAAGACTCAGTGAATGGCTTTGTATGCATAGTGAGAAAGGACCAGAAAACATAATGAGGATAGACGCCAAAAAGGATTTGGGCTCTCCTCAAACTTGTCCGTCTCACTGTACCATGAGAAATCGGCCTAAAAGGTGCTCGCTATCTTACGGATGATTCGGCGCAGCTTTTCCCGTATTACTCGCATGGACTTCCAAATACTCTATGGGGCCTACGTCAGACCGCTCCTGGAGTACGCCAACCAAGTTTTCTACTCAGGACGCACGAAAGACGTCACTCTCATTGAGCGTGTCCATCGAGCCACTACGCAAATGATTGCCGGCCTCAAATGGGTGGACTACGAGACGAGTCTCGCGGTGCTTGACCTGGAGTATCGTCGCCTCCGAGGGGACCTAATTCTTACTTATGCCGTTTGAACAAAGCTTGACCAACAGGTTTTTCACCGTTGACCCAGCAAATACACGACGGGGACATGGTAAGAAGATTTTCAAGCTCAGAGCGCACACATTTCTCAGGCAAATTTTTCTCTCACTTCGGGTATTAGCTGCGTGGAATAACCTTCCTCCGACGATTGTCCACGCTCCTTCTAGAACCCAGTTCAACGCACTATTAGACACATTTATGCGAGCCCTCGCGCTGGCAGGAGTACTGCCATGCGCTTAGAACATAAAGAGCAGTGCTACATCCTTTCTTCACTTGCTTTTCAGGCGACTGAACGACAGCCTTTCTTCACTTGCTTTTCAGGCGACTGACAGCCGCTGAACGACAGGAGCAAAACAGGCCCGGGAAACTTGGGTAAAAGCCTCGATCCTGTGTATCAATCCGTGAATCCATCGAAACTAGGTCACAGACGAATGATTGTCAATATTGAAACACAGCCCTTACGGTAGCTCTGGAGGAGGCGAGGAGTCAAATGACGACGGAGTAATTGATGCATGCGACTGTTCTACTGTGGTGGATCAATGAAGTCTGCGAGATGTATCCATAGAGGGCTATGTAACCCGATGCGTTGGGTTTAACATGGTATTCATGATAGAACAAATAGCCTAAATACAAATTTGTAAAGCCCTTAACGTATGTCAAAGGATAAAGATATCACCTGAAATTAGCTGGGGAACACCAGCAACACAACTCCAACCCAAACATCAGCGGCGTAAAGAGCTAAGAACTATTCAACAAAATGAGAATTTTGGTTTCTGGCACCGGAAACATAAGACGATGCGGAATTTACAGGCGAGAGGGAAAGCTAAGAGAATCATGGAAAGATGTGGCTGGGAGAAAGTTGCGCACAACATTCGTTCCAGTTAATGTTCTGTACAAGTTTAGCAATAAAATACCTTAGAAGTCGAGAATACACATTTGTACACCGGGTTAAATGCTTCCAAAGTATATACATTAGAGGCTGCTTGAATGGCAGTTCACTAGACGTGGGTTACATACATCATCACGCTGGCAGTATATGGTACCTTGGGAGTCTATGGATTGCACACGGTCGTCAGAACATGCGTTGGAATCCGGCTTTTTGCGCTTATTCCTCCTTTTTGAACTACCACTGTTGGCGTTCCTCGCCTTCCGTGGTACTTTGGAGACACAATAATCCACGGGAGCGTCTTCAGAATCTCCGGTATCACGTTTCCGCTTCTGATTAGGCGCTTTCCTTTTAGAGGGGGGCTTGTGATCAATATGAACAGGGAAAGCATCAAGCTCCTCGCTGCCGAGCTCACTTCCACTATCAAACATCTCGGATTGGAAGTCCCGTGCTTTGCAGTCAGAGGGCGGGACAGACTTAATCTGACTTGGCTTCAGTTCAGGAACGTCCATCACAAGATTTCGGAGGAAATCGAAGGTCGGATTACTGTCTATGACATGTTTACTGCGAAATGCAGGAAGTAACGATGAACTCACATGCAACTGGGACTAATTGTCCTTGAGTTTCTGGTGGCCGTTAGATCGTAGGCTTGAGATACCAATTCCTCCATGAAGAGCTCTAACGCCCGCGCTGAAAAACACAACACAATAATAATAAGAATACCACTTACACACGACAGGGGGCACAGTTGCAGCCAACTTCCCTATTTCTTCATCCAACTGCATTATCTTTTTTATCCGAGTCTGGAAAAGGTGGAAAGACAGTTAGTTACACAATGCAGGAGAAAACCATACCGTGGGAAACCTTGCTGTAAATTTCCTCCGAGTCGGCATTCCTGGTTAAATGTAACGCAAAACACGAAACGACCGCTTTGAGATCAGGTCAAGGCCAGCACCGATAGGCTCGGCTACGAATGGGCTAAGAAACTGGCCAATGGGCCTGGCAGTCTCGTTAGGTTCACACGTGTATAGGAAGTCCAAGACTCGTAGAATCGGATTGGCAGTTTTGGTTTCTGCACGCAGCTTAGGTGTTTCTATTTGAAAATGGAGAAAGATCCTACCCTTGCGATCGGTGAGCATAATGGGATCTGTTCGGATTTACGGATTTACGGAATCAATGATTGACACACAGCATCAAGGCCTTTGCCAAGCTCCTCGGGTCAGGTCTGTTCTTGTCGTTCAGGAGCTTGCATTCACCTGGAAGGCACCAGCGGAAAAAAACTTATGGCCCCGCTCTTTGTTTTCTCAGCGCGAGATATTAAGCTGGCCAGCGCAAGGAGTCACATAAAGAAAGCGTCTATAGGTGCTTTGAACTGGGTACTAGATATGGCGTGGACAACCGTCGGGTGAGGGTCATTTTACTCATCAATTTTCCGAAATGATAAAAATTGTTGCCTGATAAACTTGTGTTCTCTGATCCTGAAGATCCTCCTACCGTGCCACCGCCGTGTTTCACTTGGGTCAAAGGTGAAAACCCCATTGGACGAACCCTGTTCAGACGGAACATTGGTAAACATTAGGCCTCTTGGAAGGCAAAAGTTCTCCAGGGGAATGCGGTAACGCACCACGGGATGCGTTTCATTATCAGAGAATTTATGGCCGCAAACCATTTTAGTAGCGGCCCGTTGGACACGCTCATTGAGGTTACTGTTCCCTGATTAGACAACTAGGTTAGACAACTTGACACAGGCCATACACAAATATAACGGTTGCTTACTCTAGTAGTGAAGCGAAGGCATACAGACTAGGAAAGTCACGAACCATATCTGGCAGGAGGGCGTTATTCCGAGGGCCACCGGCCACACCGACAAGCCCCCAATACACTGTATGTGCACTCGGGATTCTCATAGGTTGATCACAATATCGATTATCTGAACACTGAACACGTTCCTGTGCTTAATTCATGCATAGGCAGCCGGAAATTTGTGGATTAGAATCGAGACTGCACGTAGTTCGTGACTGTACAGTGAAGCAGCCATGCAGTGATCGAGGATGTGCTCGATAGATGCGTATAGACATAAGAAGTGGGGCTTGAAATGGTAGACGAGAGTAGAGGATCTTGGACAGAGGATTTGGTGGGGCCCGAGTGTTGGTATGATAATGCGAAGGCTCCTGGCACAGATTCCCGAGTCCAGGAGGGCACTCGAGACGGAGTTCTCAGATGGTAAAAAGAAAGTGTGATCACCCAGACTTGCAGACAACCATTATTCAACTGACGCATAACTGTGCTTCTTATGCATACTCCTATTTAGATTTCGAATATTAGTAATTTATGTGCAATTTTTTTGGTCGGGCACGGAATTGTGATCTCCTTGATCAATTTTTTTGACAGATATGGGTGACGGGTTCATTGCAGCTTTTCTGTGGTGGTGGTGGTGGGTGGTATTTCTTCTACGGAGAGATATTCAACAGGACAAAAGGGATTTCAAATTGAAATAATTTTGCAAGGAACTAGTTTAGTCGGACCAAGTGCTTCAGTTCTACTTCAATGAATAGCTGCTTGGTCAAATGCCCGAAATTTTAAGTCCCCTTAGTTGCGCCGAACCGAATGTCAATGGTGGTTTGCTGATAGAGCGTAAATTTAAAACGCTTCAACTTTTGAAACCGGCCGTTGTGTTTGAAGTTCGTGATGACGTGTACTTAACTTTGAATGCATATTTCATCGAGATGGTTCTGTTTGCCTGATGTTACAAAGTAGGCGGCGTGGCTCACGGAAGTTCGCCACGCCCGTGCTGTCTACGATATTCACGTCTTGTCGCGTGTAATCTCTAAAGAAAACCTGGTGCATGCTGCGATAAATGCACGGTGATGTGTCATATTTTTGTTCATCGGTTACTGAGCTTCGTGGATACCTTCAGTTATGCCAACGCTGTATTTTTTGTCCACTCCCTTTCGCCCAATCGTCCGCCTACCTGAAACGACGGACAGACTTCAGCTGCCCCCAGCCGCCTCCAGAACGCATTCATTCTAGTTTACCGAACCTTCCGTTCGGATCTGAAAATACCGATGACCTTCATTCTGTGCTCCTTAAAAAAGTCAGTTATTTTCCTTGCAGTTTGCGTCCCTTCTTATGAGTTGGCACCAACTACCTCTCCCAAGGAATCTTTACACCAGACCTCACTCCAACAGCAACACCACCGAGTCTCTACGGTCTCAGTGTACACCATTTTTCTAAGATTACTGGAATCATTTATCCGCATTGCGAATTTATTTGCTTTTATCATCCCCACTTACTCTTTTCGTGACCCAGGCCATTAGCCTGATAGTCTAAGATCGCAAGACCTCGGTGGTGGTTTTAGGCTTTAGTTCAAATCGACCGCCCAGATCGTGGTAATTCTGCTACCTCACAAGCTCTACTCTTCTGGTTTATTATTTTCCGCAACTTGAAGTCTACTTATCGCGTACCAGACGGAATGTCGTTTGTTTTGACCTACCTCGTTTTGTTTTTGCCCGCCACACTTAAATCTAAACAACCTGACTTTTGCTCAACTCGATTTGTTCCCCAAATGTAAGAAGTCCTGGTAGGTGTGTTTCACTGCCCATGCCGATTTAGGCGTGATCAAATCTTCATCGGATAATGCGCACAGTTCATGACACTTCCCGTTTACACGCAATCATCTGTAACAACAAATCCTGCCATTCGTACTTTTGTTCTGACTGTAGTTGTATGACCATGCCTGATAGTATGCCGCCTACCGGTTGGGAATAAACAATAATGTTATTATTAATAAATTTCATCTCTGCCGAATGAGGTTCTGCAGGTATACATGCGGCAAAAGCCGTAATACAATGACCAATTTGCTCTTGCTCATAGCTACCATCCGTTTACTCGCTGTTAATTCTGACATTTATGGAATTCTCCTCTGACCAGAATAGCCTGCGGGGCCTCGGCGGCACACGAGCCCCACTGTTAAGTAATGATAGCAGGACAACCGGGCGGTGGCTGTGAGACACCTGCACGTTCTCGTTTAGTACGAAATTAGACAAAGTCGTCTTCGTCACGTGATTCGGATTGAATATCTATAACATGTGCGGAAGCTGATAGCAGTACCTCGGGGGCCGATGGCTATCCCTATTACACTCATTTTCTATTCTGGTGCTGTCCAACTCATGTAATAAATACCAGATTTACCAGTCCATCATGTCGAAAGTTCACTCTCGTCAGCCCTTATGCGTCTGATTTCCCTAACCACACGTTTTGAGTGCATACATCGGCTTGTACTTTATAATAGTATGCTAGCAAACTCAAGCCTTGGTCGCTAGACCACTAAGTACAAACCCATCCTTATCCAAACTCATATAACCACTTGTTGTCATCATCCTAAGGGCGGTAGACGTCAAGTTTTTCTTTCTGTGCATACAAATGAACATGCCTCCTCAAACTCATAATTCTTTACTAAACTCATCCCATTCACTCATCTTCTCAAACTTTGAAATTTGGCAATACCCGATTTGAACGACCTGGCTGACTGTTATCCACTTCACCTGACCTATGATCTACATCCATAGGATCCTCAAACCGACCAAAAACTTGAGATCTTATATTGGCTTTGTTCCACCTTGTTTCCTTGGCTAGTCTGAAAAGAATCACATCCTCAAAAAATCGCACGTCCCAGCCCAATGACCTTAAATGTGACATCCGTTACGGGGCTATCCAAAAGCCGCAGAAGATCAAGCTAGTGGTAACACGGCACAGGCATAACCAGTTTGACAGCACGCCCGCAACTACTCCCGTACGCTCTCGCCCAATCCTTCCATTAGCTCCAACTACGAACAAACTCCTTGCCTGACCCCAGATGCCTCTACGACATGTTCATTCCAATCTGCCGAACCTTTTGTTTAAAATTAACCATTTCCCTGTGTCTGTGCTTCCCGCAAAAGTCAATAACTTTATATACGGTTCATTTTCCGGCTCGTGTGTTACGATCACCTCACTCTTCTAGGGAACTATAATGGCCGACTTCATAACAGTGACACCAGCGAGTCTCCGCAGTTTCACTGTACACCATGTTTCTGAGATCCCAGTTACCATTTATTCGCTTTGTTAATCCTTAAACTCCACCATCCTTACTCACCCTTTTTGTGACCCTGGTCATGAGCCCAACAGTCCAAGGCCGCGAGGCTTTGGTTTTAGATTTTAGCTCAACTTCACCGGCCGGATGACGCCTACTTCGCTGCTTAACCAGATCTGATGTTATGGCTCCCTATATATCTCGGTTTTTACCAGCCACCTCCAAATCCTGACGATCCGATACTGCCTGATATTCTCTCCAAAAAGCGCAGTAACTGCGCTTATCTGCCCATTCCGGTTGGGTGGTTACCACGCCTACGTTGAATAATACCCACCCCCTGTGACGCTGTCCCCTTTCCTAAGCCTCTCTGTACCCACAATTCCCACCAGTCATGCTTTCATCCTGCGTGTAACATTATTATGCCTAACGGCATGCACCTAATAGTTGGAAATAAACTTTATTGTTGTTTTTAGAGATACTGCGACTCCAATAGTCTCTCTCCGTTTTCTGTAGAACTCACCAGAATATCTTAACAAAATCATCCTTGATGAGTATTATCAGTCGTGTTACAATGGATCGGCAGTTATCCAGCGCTACTCGCTGGTCTCTTTGTAGCCGTGTTGGACGAGAAATTGGCCTAAGCAATGCATATGTTGACAGCTAACTTGCAGTCAGGAAACAGGAACCCTTTAAATAATGAATAGCAGTTCATAC